GAAATGTTTCTTGACCACCAAATCAGCATATTATAATTATTTCCTTAGGATCACGTGAACCAGAAGACTGGAGTAAAGGTAGCTGATAAATCAGCTTGGCTATAACAGGAATACATTAGATTTAAAAAATATTGTAAATATTTTATAGAAAACAGTTATTTTAAATTGTAATAATATTACAATATTACTATATTTTTTGATCAAATAAATGCAGCCTTGGTGAGCATAAGACTCTTCTTTTAAAAACTGTAATATTCTGAAAAAAGCCCAAAACAGACTTACCGGTTTCCACTCCAGAGGAATGTAACCAGGGCCTACAAACATGGCATTAAAGTAGTTGTAAAGAATGAGGACGGTCCAGTTAATGAGCATGATGAAGTTGATGCTGCCTCCTGTGGTGTCCAGTGGCCAGTACCAGATGATGGAGTCCAGTATGGCCATGGAGGAGCACATGCCGATGACCGTCAGAGCGATGATCGGACCCCAGTGGAACAGCCTCTTGACCTCATGGAGGTTCTCAAACACGATTATAGCAGACAGAATATTCATTGTTTCGGTGGATTTCGGTGTCTTTAATGTCCTCAATGTAACAGGAGAAATAGTCAGGCGTGTTGTCTGTGTTTACTGCAGTGACTTAAAGAGGTCAAAGGGCATCTTTTCTGTCTTCTCCGAAACAACCAGCGATCGGCTACGTCACCAGTCACAGGGGCCAGCCGTTTCCTAGAGTTCCAGACTCTGTCAGCGTGTGGCATTCTTCCGTACTAATCCTCTGATCACACTATCCTCGAGCTAAAGCCAAGCCATCCATCTGAAGAGAAGAAAGGTGGAGAAAACAAGGAACAGAAGACAGAACCTAAATGACTCACCTCACACAAAATGTTAACAGGATAACTATAATTTAAGTCAAAATACCACAGTTAACTTTTGTTTTCCACAGTTCATTTCTGTATAACTTCATAAATTAGTACGGTATCTGTATAAATAGATCTATCTATCTATATTATTTACCCATTCATATCTATCTAATATTATTTACCCATTCATATCTATCTATCTATCTATCTATCTATCTATCTATCTATCTATCTATCTATCTATCTATCTATATTATTTACCCATTCATATCTATCTATCTATCTATCTATCTATATTATTTACCCATTCATATCTATCTAATATTATTTACCCATTCATATCTATCTATCTATCTATCTATCTATCTATCTATCTATCTATCTATCTATCTATCTATCTATCTATCTATCTATCTATATTATTTACCCATTCATATCTATCTATCTATCTATCTATCTATATTATTTACCCATTCATATCTATCTATCTATCTATCTATCTATATTATTTACCCATTCATATCTATCTATCTATCTATCTAATATTATTTACCCATTCATATCTATCTATCCATCTATCTATCTTATTTACCCATTCATATCTATTTATCTTATTTACCCATTCATATCTATCTATCTTATTTACCCATTAATATCTATCTGTCTTATTTACCCATTCATATCTATCTATCTATCTTATTTACCCATTCATATCTATCTATCTATCTATCTATCTTATTTACCTATTCATATCTATCTATCTAATATTATTTACCCATTCATATCTATCTATCTATCTATCTATCTTATTTACCCATTCATATCTATTTATCTTATTTACCCATTCATATCTATCTATCTTATTTACCCATTAATATCTATCTATCTTATTTCCCCATTCATATCTATCTATCTATCTTATTTACCCATTCATATCTATCTATCTATCTATCTATCTATCTATCTATCTATCTATCTATCTATCTATCTATCTATCT